GCATACAATATTCGGGAAATGTGTTTGAAATGTGGAAGCTCACTTCTCTGGATGTCGTATCCAAAATGTTGTCACTTCCTTCTGAAAGTCATTCATTAATCGCATCTAGAATGACCAGAAAGAAAGAAACTCATCTTTATACAAGCAAGCGAAACTTTATTCATATTTTTATCCAAGCCACTTAAACTTTATTTAGCTTTATTCATAGGAGGAAGGAAATGTCACATACTTGTTTGAGGAGATGGGCCATATCTGGTCTGTTCGCATCAATACTTGTAGAGCCGCTGGGAAAACTCAACTTATGGTAGAGGAAATGAGCCTCCAAGCTTTTCGCTTAAAAGAGATGTTGACACTTCATGAAAATGAACTGACGGACTGTACATTCACGTATATACTGAATATTAAAACATATTTCATACTGCTAAAATAAGCTTAAGATACTACCTATGCTACTGTAGACATCCTTAGTCACATTTAACGGAGAAGACGAAAATGTTTTTGCAAAAAATTGAAGGACTTTATCCTGTGAAAGCAAAATGACATGTTAACAACAGTTTAAGCATCATTGAGATACTACTATGATACTGTTTTTAATCTATATTCTGAATTAGTTTATTATTAGTTTTTTATTTTTTATACGTTTTAGTCATTCTTGTGTATTTTTCTCTTTTTTTTTATCTACACAGTATATATTAAAAATACAAATGAATATAGCTTATTTTCAGTTTTAGTTATTGTAGTACATCAAGTTAAACTAAATGTTTTTTTTTTTGTTTGTTTTTTCAGTAAACAATTATTTTGTTCCAATTCTCTGGAAACTGCTTGAAAATGTTGGCCCTTGTATTTCCACATTAAGTTGCTAAGGTAACTATTTTGTTGTTGAAGCCATGGCTAAGGTCAGTGCTTATTTAGCACTTATCTCTTACGCTGAGCTCAGGGTCAGGGTCAGTGAGCGCAGCAGAGAGGGTTCGGCGCAGGCCAGTCCAGCTTTCACAGCTCAGGACATCAGAGGGAGGGGCATAGCACAATGACTGCAAAGCTTCCAAGCGAACCTGCAATTAAACAGATCAGGATGACTGCTTCATCTCTGAATCAGAACGACAATTCTCTCTTTCTACAATTGAAACTATGGGAAGTGGGTGTATCAGAGGAGTTTTCACCTCTCGTGGTCTACCGGGGTCAAGCTTCTCAGCGATGACTTGCAGTTGTTCATGCTTGATAAATGCATAGCTCTACGTGTTGAAATCAAAGACATTAGCAGTGTTGGGGAAAGTTACTTTTAAAAGTAATGCATTACAATATTGCGTTACTCCCTAAAAAAGTAACTAGTTACGTTACTTAGTTACTTTTTATGGAAAGTAATGCATTACGTTACTTTTGCTTTACTTTTTAAATCTGGGCTGGGCTTGATTGTTCGGTGAGTAAAACGCAGCCTAATTTTAATTTTTGGGTGAACTAACCCTTTAACACCAAAAGTGATATTAATGAGACTCAGGCTTAAGTAGAGAAAGCTCAACACTCTTCGATCAGCAAAAAAAAAACACACAAATGTTATGTTTATCTAAACTCATTTTTGCTTATTTGTATGGCTGAATTGGATCATTGGATCAGTTGGATCAAGGTCAGTAGCAAAGACATTGGTTAATAAAATGGGATTAAATACATAAAGCATATTTATGCAGGTTTGTGTCATATTTTAAGTTTGCATTTTTAATGTTTTTATTCATTTTGAGGAACGCTGAATCTGTTTCTGTGCTGGTGAGATAAGTAAATACATGTTTATATTTAGTCTAGAACTACAGTAAGATCATGTTCACACACAACACCTCTGCACTTACTCCTGATTTCTGTCACCATGTCAACACCAGAGCTGTCAGTCAATACATGGAAACAAAGTAACTGGAGTTACTTATTTGAAAAAGTAACTCCGATATTTTCTTGTAAATGAAAAAGTAATGCGTTACTTTACTAGTTACTTTAAAAAAGTAATCTGACTACGTAACTCACATTACTTGTAATGCATTACCCCCAACACTGCATTAGTTAGTCATTCAGTCTATAGTATGAATGTACAGTCATAGTATGTGAAAGGCTGAGATAAACAGGATGATATGCTTGTCAAAGAAACAACAGGAGCCTCTGTAACGTATTTAAACTTATACAACAACAACAACCTGATTGAATGAAGAGTCACTGTCAGAGCAGTTGTCAGTGTAATGACTGCTTGACTGCTCATGTTGGCTCTTCCTGTCCATTTCCTCTTTCTTCAGCTGATCTTCCTCGAATTTATTGATCAGTGATTCCACAACCACCATCATGGTCTGTTTCAGAGTCTGCATCATCTGTTTATACCTACAGATTTAAAATAGCACATATGATGCACTAAACTACCCATACTCAGAGATATCACTCTGTAACAATGAAAACATAAATCCAAAATCAAGTTACTTTTATATTTGAATAAATATGAATACACTACTAATGTATCACAGTTTCCACAAAAACATTACGCGGCACAACTGTTTACTGTTTACTTTTTTTAAATCAGCATATTACAATGATTTCTGAAGGATCATGTGACACTGAAGACTGGAGTAATGGCTGCTGAAAATTCAGCTTTACCATTACAGGTATAAATTACATTTTAAAATATATTCAAATATAAACTAATTATTTTAAATTGTAATAATATTTCACAATATTACTTTTTTTATTAAATAAATGGTTGGCGAGCATAAGAAACTTCAAAAACATTTTTTTTTTTTTTTTAAATCTTACCAACCCCCAAGCTTTTAAACTATAGTGTATTTTGCAGTAAACTTAATATATTGTTTATATAATATTTTGAAATAGTTTTATATCCTCTTGTTCTATCTGATTCATTGATGTAATTTGCAATGCTTTATGGGATACGTAGTTCATTTTTATCCTAGAAGACATTAAATACACAGTCTTAAGCCCTTTTTTTTGTGCTTAAAATCAGTTACTGTAATGCTGTTATTCATTCTGGAGATGGTTGGTTGGTTTCAAGACTTAGAGCTTTTTACTAAAAGAATTTTGAAAATGTTTATGGAGAAAATTAATGTGAAAACTGCTGAAATTGAATTTCTCTGAAACCATTCTATATCGAACTACTTGCAAAATTACATTTGTGCTGATATTTTTGCATCATGCAATGAGAAAGCAATGCATCTAGTAAAACATCTTATTAGTTACATCGGAAAACACATGGTACTTTCACTTTCATCATCGCATTTCATCATTAATTTCATTTTCAAAAGATTCCAGACAACATTTACTTTCTCACTGCATTGCATCATGCAGTGAGCAAACATCCACAAAAGCATCTTATCATATCAAGAAACACAAGGTAACAGGAATCATAAAAACACATACTGTGTGGACTCCCTAGTCCTCTTCGTAACAGCATGGGTGTCCTGCCCAGACCCCAGAGCATGACCGTCACCCCTGGTTAAATTCTCAGTCTCTTCTTCAATAACCGCTCCCAAACAGCTCTCTACATACTTCCGCAGATACTTCACAAACTCATAGCTGAAAAACAGAGGGAGGGCATGAAAATGGATCAAACAAACGGTAATCACAGTCAGTCTTAACATGTACTGGAAGAGACATTTCTCTTACTTGTGAAAGTTCTTGTCAGTTTCCTCCAAATGAAGCAGAATCTCCTCAGCACATTCTACCGATGGTGCTCCTGAGATTCTGTCTTTGACACTTTTCAGGAGCTTTCGCAGCAGGCTCTGGAGCTCTGCCTCATCCTCGCTGGAGAACTGAGACATCACTTCTCGGGGGTGTGATCAGCTCTTCTCTACGGGGGATCTCCTGCTTAGAGAAACAAGGTGTTAAGTAAGGTGTATTTGACCTGTAGTAACAGAGGTGGGAAGTATACTCAGTCTATGCAGTATATATTCCCACAAAGTTTAGATTCCTGGAATGATCTTAAAACAGTATTGATGGAGTTTCCATGTATGCTGCACACTTGGCTGCTTTTCATTCAGTATCCGACTCAATCCATTAAACAGTAATATAAATACAAAAATAACGAAATTAATATGTAGCCACAATTTGTATATGTCTATAAAACTAATTTTACACATTAGAGCCATTTCCAAATCATAAGAAACATGGAATCATGTCAAGTGCGGCCAAATCTGATACATATATACATATTTGGTACATATACATAGAGCTAACTAATATAGCTAAAATATTAAATATAGATACACTAATAATAACATTTAGGCTACATCATATCCCTACATCGGAGTAATGCATTATACGCTAGCTAAGTCATTAAATATTATGTAAGTACTTAAAACTGAGCTGTTCAGAATTCAAGTGTTGGCATTTAAGCTTGTATTTTCTCATTAACAAATATACATTCCACATACAGCTCATGGGAAGTTTTGAACATTACCTGCAATAATTTCACAAAATGTCCAAACAGATCAGCTACGTCGCTTCCATAACATTAGAAATCTTTCATAATCGGACGTTTCATAAAGCACAGAGCTCTACATAAATCAGCTTAGCATCCGTTAGCAGTACTGTTTCTATGGAAACAAGCCCAGCTGAGCTGAGGCATCCGCAATAAAACACCAGTTATTTGCAAAAAAAATAAGATTCACGGCACAACCGTATGAATGTATTCCATGTCTAGCAAAGTTTAAGATAGCGCATATTGCAAAAATAACTACGATAAAACCACAGGAACACGAAGAAAGGTGATGTTTGCATGAGTTTGACGCTGGTGTTGATCACGTGACGCGAGCGTGTCACGTGACTTTGGGTTTCCTGATTCTAGCGCATATTGCAAAAATAACTACGATAAAACCACAGGAACACGAAGAAAGGTGATGTTTGCATGAGTTTGACGCTGACTGAAGACGCTGGTGTTGATCACGTGACGCGAGCGTGTCACGTGACTTTGGGTTTCCTGATTCACATGACGTGACAAGATCGAGGAGGAGAATCTGGTGAAATAGTACTCGTATTAACAAACATAGTCAAGCTAGTTGAGAGCAAACTAACTCGTTGAGTGTAAAAGATAGTTGTTTTTCATTGGATGCTAATTTAAAGTAAATAACTGTACGGCTCTCAGTTTATAATGGCCGCTGTTGACAGCTTCCAGCTTTTGTATCGAGAAATTGCCAGATCATGCAGTTGTTATGTGGAAACGCTCGCGCTCGTGGGTGCGTGTTACACAGTCAGCAAGGCTGTGATATTTATGAGGGACTGCTATAGCCTGATAAGGCTTCATTTTATTCCTCGTCTTGTGTACCATAGAGACCTTAGTCAGCAATATGGACAATGGGCTCTTGTATGTGGTAGGTTTAAAAGTGAATAATCATCTTGTTTCATTGTCTAATTCATGCATACTTAATGCATGTTATAATACTGCATACTGATATTTACCTAACTTAAATAAACAAAAATGCCCCTTTTTCCTTGTTTTCCAATAGGAGCTTCAGAGGCAATAGCAAAAGCATATGCAGAGGAACTGGCAAGGCATGGCATCTGTGTGATTCTAATCAGCAGTGACATCAGTAACTTGGCTGACACTGCCAAAGCCATTTCAGACACTTACGGAGTAGAGACCATTTTAATTGAAGCTGATTTCAGTCAGGGGCCCTTGGCCTTCAAACCTATTAAAGATGCCATCAGTGGTAAAGATATTGGATTCATTGTTAACAGCCTGGATGGGTCTCTGGACCACTCGCAAGACTTTACAGACCTCTCTGAATCTGTAGTATGGGATACTATCAATAGAAATATAGTAGCTGCCACTCTTGTCACCCGCCTGGCACTGCCCGCTATGGTGGAAAGGGGAAAAGGAGCAGTGGTCAACATTTCTGCTGGCCGCTGCTTGCGTCCGACTTCCAGAAAGGCTGCTCTTTCTGCATCTACGGTCAGATCTCTACTTGATGTCTACTTGTCCACTCGTTTTCCATCCAGTGCTGCGGTGATCATGTGTTTTTGTAAGCCAACTGGGAAGTTAGCATTACCCTTGTTCTCTTGACAAAATCCCAATAGGATTTTTCATTTGGCTTTTGGATTAATGCTGAAAATAAGCTCCTTGACCAAAAAAGTTAGATTCTTAGACATTTTGCTAATCATGATAACCCTTATTTTGAAACCTAAATACAATCGTTAAAAGTTAAACATAGGCCATAAATGAAATATACTACAGTCACACAACTTAAATGTCTCCAAAAACTAATTCAGTCTTTACTTAAAAAAAAAAACAATTTCTCTGAAAGTTTGCAAGAGTGTGACAATAAAAACAGTGAGGCTGTAAAAGCAGACTAGTGAGTAGATGAGTTTATCAGTTTGGCTTGATGACATTTAATGTCACTGACAACCTTTGTAGCCCATTTAACCACTTGTTAGCAACTAGCAAGTTAAAGCTTTAAAAAAATCACTTAAGGGTAGTCCTGATGTATTTTATGTTTTAAAATAAAACATTTAAATATCTCGAGCTTGTATTAATCACAGACCTTATTTCAGGCATTTAACAATTAAAAAACCAGAAGTGCTAACTTGTTTTTGGGGTTTGGCCTACAAAAATGTCATCCCTGCAGCACTCTATTTACTGTATGTTTCTTATAGATTTTTGTTTTTATGATTCTTCTGTGTTTTAAATTCCCCACAGGCTTTTCTTGATAACTTCAGTCGCTCTCTGCACTATGAATATGGTCATCGAGGAGTCTTTGTGCAGAGTTTGCTGCCTTTTAGAGTCTCATCTCAAGGATCTGAGGGTTATAGTCCTGCTGGCTGGCTGGTGCCAAGCCCACAAGTGTATGCCAGCCATGCTCTTTCAACTCTGGGCGTCTCTCACCGAACCACAGGATACTGGCCTCACACCATAAAGGTAGTCATTCAATCATTGTATACAATGTTTTTTTTT